CTTTTCATCCTTCTCTTTTCAGTACGCAATGTCAGGCGACCATGCAGCAGCCAAAACTGCGTGAAGTCCGCTGTTCGCCTGTCACTTTGCACCTGAAAGGGAGAGAAATAATGAGAAAATGCCCTCCTTCTCCACAATTCTCTGATCATAACTTGGCTCAAACAGCAATGCTAAATAACTTTCTATAGAGACCCCAAGACTAAACAGAGAGCAAAGCGTATTTTTCTCTGGTGTCTCAACTACATTTTTATTCAAGATGTTGATATGAATCCTTTAGAGATGCAAAATTACTCAACAGAGTTCTTTTGTAGTCTTCACTACTCGTTTGGATTTGGAAAAATTAGAAAACTTTAAGCATATCTTAACAAAATTATCACATTCTCTATCTGTGAAATAGTAGTCATCAGAATTTCAAAAGTTCCCTCACACTTCTTCACTCTGTGAAAAACAACAAGGATTAGCTGACGCGCTCCAAAGTCAACATCTGATGCAAGGGTGTCCTTTAAAAATTTCAGTATTTGTTCGGCCATAGCGGAGCTATAGACTTTGAACCAGTTTTGCCTTGTTTACCTTTTCTCTCCCAACGAGCTTACGGCAAATAAGTTTTTGTTGTTTTGGATCTCCATATATTAACTTTGTTCATATCAAAGTTAAAGTCACTGAGATCTATTTGGAAATTGTCTTTTATTTCCCTTTAAATGAGCGGTTGGTTGTGGAATTTTTGATTTTCATTTAGGAAGATGAGTCAACGTTATTCGTCTTCGGCAACGTCAACACCTCAACGACGACCAACAACACCAAGCACTGTTCCAAATGTTTTTCTTGGCGTTTCAATTCAGGCGGGTTTTATTTCACTTTTGTTTTATTTTGAAAAATAATCACAACTTCACAATATTTTGCATGTTTTCAAATAAACTATCATAAGATTTGGTAAAGGGTTTGATGACACCCTAAATTCTGGATAAAAGTTGCTATTTCTTTCTTCAGACCTTTTTAGATGTGTAACGCTCGGTCTCTTTTTTATCACCTCTAAACATGAAAATAGAGCTGAGCTCTTCGAAAGTCTTTTGTATTTCTTCAATTTTGTTGCATCATCCTTCTTCCGGATTGTGACTGCTTTCTTGAAATCACTTCCCGAGCTTTCGAGATACTCATTTTTTACTTCATAGCAGTATAACTTTTCAATTGGCCTTTTATTGCAGATTGCCCGAAAGTTCCTCTTCATCGATCCGAAAAGAAAAGCATTAGCATGCTTAGCATTCGTCTCACTGTTGTCAGTGATTGGCTCATTTATCACGCTCGATGATAACTACTATCTCGTACAGGTATTTTTTTGCTGTACAGTGTTCAGTTAAAGCGTTAATCGATCTCCAATTTAGAAACACAGTATTCTCAATCAATATGGTGTTAAGCTTGGTTGGATGTGGACGTGCTTTGTTGTGGGACCGTTTATATGGTTTGCTTCAAGAGCGCATCACAGGTACCGTTAAGAATTTATTGTTTATGAACGACAATGTCATTTTATTGCCCTTGCTATTATATTCTTCAAAATGTGCTGCTCTGC